AAATAAAAAAGGATATACTAGATAATAGTTTAGAATACACAAGGCCAGAACTAGAAAAGTGTGCTTACAACTTTTGGTGTTTTTTCTTGTGATTCTCTAAGTCATTCTTCTTCAGTGACAGTCTTACTCTCTCCTCAGCATCAACTGCTATAAATGATTTCTCTCGATTAAGATCATTGATCTTTTGATCTATGGATTGTAATTCTTGCCACTTCTGTTGTATGTTTGCTCCAAAATTTCTTTGGTCAAGCTGATTTTTCCTCCTCTCAACCTCAATTTGCTGAAAAATCAATAATGACAAGAAGCATTACTTGCAGATTGTTTTATGTTGTTCTTGTTCATCAATGGAAGGATTTATGTTCCAAGCAAGCCACCGAATAGAGCCATCCTTACCATGTTCTTTTCTCTTTCATCAATGCGAGAAAGATCTACATCAGAGATTTGAAGTTCAAGTGAATCACGCTCAATTTTCTTTCCTTCTATTCGTTTCAAGATAGCATTCTGAATTAAATCACAAGTTAAAACCACCAGGGAAACATTAAGAAGGAAAAAAAAAACTGATAGAGAGGTTGTAAAACACACATGCTCAAAGACAGACCTTGATTTCTAATTTTGCCTGCTTTTGAGCTTCGGCATTTTTCCAGCGTTCATTTGCATCCAAGTAAAGATCCCATGCCATCTTTAGTTCCTTGTCATTTGAATTCTGAAATAACAGAAAATGATACTAAGAGTAGTTCATATAAGGCTAATTGATTTCAATTTACATTCTGTTAACCAATTCCTATATACTACAGAATGAAGTAATACCATGTACAAGAAAAAAAGTGAGTATATACAAATTCATATCTAAACTAAAATTGCAGCAAGACACATGCAGAAAATATTTATTAATAAACAAGGGAAAAATAACCTTTTTGCTTTGCAAAACATTATCGAGATCCGTCAGTCTTGATTCTATTCTATCAGTGAGATCCAAAGCAACCGCATCAGTAATGTTACTTGGAAGAGACCCCAAATTGTGCGTTGCAAACAATTTTTGAATTGCTGAATCCCTTTCATCCTTTGACAATATATGAATCTAAAAAGAAAGAGTGTCAGCTAGCATCAAATTCCATGCAAATTACCAACTTTTTTTCAAAGAAAAAATGGTTTATATTTCCTTTTGCATTACTTCAGCATCTCTTTGAAGCTTGCTGATCTCTGTAACATAATTCGTTAATTTTTTTTCTGCAGCTGAAATCATGTCATCAAATTCCTTAATTTCCCTCTTTGACCTTTCAATTTTACCCTCTAATCGCAAGATCCTTTCATCAAACTTGTTTTCCATTCCATCATTTCTTCATCGGTATCTAACAAGACAGAAAAGCCACTGTTTAAAAAAAGTTAGCTGAGATGTACAAAAAGATAAAGAATTTACAAAGTTTTCATAGAAAATAAAGGACATGATACATGGGAAGTAGTTATTTTTTCTTCTGCTATACACAGACAAACCTTCATTTTCTTCATCAAGATCGTTATACTGTCGCCTCTGCCCATTAATCAAAGTACTTCTTTCGGCATTCTTGACTGTTTTCTGCTGAACTTTGTCTCTCAGTTCTTTCAATGTTGCTTCAGTATGACGAATTTTAACATCAACATTTTGGATTGCTTTTTCTAAGTCCTGCATTTGATTTTGCGAAAGCTCTGTCTGTTCTTGATCTTGAGCTATGCTCTCCCGAAGCTGTATAAAGACAAATATTAAATTCTATTCATAAGATATTAAAAAATTGAATAACTTGCAAAAGCCCATGTCAAGAAGTCAATTCCACGTTTGGCTGAAGTTTATCAATTTTTTATGATTAGCAACCAATTCATATTCTTGCTTCCTACAGTTTATCAAGGGGAAAATATAGTTTCAAAAAAAAGGGGAGTTAAGTTTAATGGCAACAAATTGAAATTCTTGGCTGCACGAAACTTTTCTTATCAGACAAGTTATGAACATATAGAACTTCACCATTATAGATCTCAACATCTTTCAAAATGATAAATTTACCATCTATGAAGTTACAACTTTTCTTTAATTAATCACTAATTATTTCTAATCATCTCAGACTCAGAGTATCTACAACTTGGACTTGAATATTCACAAATAAACAGGAAAAGGAGGAGTCAGAGCAGAAAAGGAAAGGGACTCCAACCTTGAATGCATTATTTTTCAAGTTCTGCAGATTTTCCAATTTCAGCTTGTAAGATTTTATCTCCAGAGCCTGATCCTTGTGAAGCTTCTTTATGACTTCTAATGCTTTTGTATATCTGTCTAATGCTCCATACCGTTAGAACAAGTTTGACAAAGAAGCACAGTAAGAATGAAAGGACTAAAAAATGCACCAAGAAAATAGATATTGAACTGCACAGGCCATGGATGAAAGGCATCCAGATAACATCAATTGCTTCATTCAGTTCTGCAAAGTGCACTTAAAAGGGCAAACAAACAAAAACCCTCTTTACAACATTGTACGCACATTCACATTTAGGTCTTTTTCCTTCCCTATCAACCTCTTTTTTTTCATGTTTTCTATTAGCAAGGGGCTATAGTGTGTAGTTTAGGTCATTTTAGACCATGGATGAAAGACAGTGTATGTTTTCAGGAAAAAGTTGAAGAAAAGTGTAATTATGTGGCAAATATGGTGAGGATTTTGCAATTTAACCAAATACACAAACACCTTTTCATCATAATTTGGGATCTTATCACAATATGAATAACCAAAACTAACAAAGAAGTTTCATAATACATATATATATACACACACACACATATGTACATATATATAGACAACTAATAGTAAACACAAAAGGTAAGAAATAACCAGACAAACAGTCTCATCGTTAGGGTCAAAAAGGCTCAGGGAATATGGACAAATACCTGGTAGCAGAGAAGATATCATCAAACTTCCTTTTTAATGTTGCAGGATCTTGCAAAGGCCAATTGGCTTCGTCTTGGTGTACAAATACAACATTTTCAAGAATAGCTTTTGAGACACCCATTAGAGCAGGTATTTCCCGATCCATGTCAGCACATCTATAGCTAAGACAAACTTTCTGCAGTTTACCAACAATAAAGAAAACATTTAAACTAAT